TTTTCTTCATTACCCATTTAAGCCGTCTCCAGCCATTATTAATCTCAAAGTGGGTTCCTCGTCATCGAATAGGCATATCTTCTGTTTTCTAAATGCTTTAATGATTTTTGTTTTGTTTTTTATTTTTCAGTTATTTAGTTTGTATGCAGTTTTATCTTAAACACCTTGTCCAGAAACTCATTGAGATTGCCTTATTTTAGATGTTTTTTCTCCTTGTTTTCTATAGTAGATATCTATTCTGTCCAATTATCTATTCTATTGCAGTTACAGGTAGCATTTTGGGATTAGTGACTGTAATATCTTTTTTTTCCTGAAATGAAACTAACTGAATGTTAAAGTTGACCAGCTCTGTGAAAGAACAAAGGTCACAAGGTGAAGCTGTTGACTGGACAAAAAAATTACTTCACCAGTTGAATTCAGGTGAGCTTTCTTGGTTCAGTTATACCTGGAGTTCTTTCAGTGAAGACTTATTTTAAGGTTGTCATGTTTAGTTCAACAGAAGTTTATCCTAAGAGAAAGAAAGTTGTGGAGGTAATCACATCCAGTAAAAGTGACTCTCTTTTCATGTGCTGAAGTACATGTGCTGCATTGTGTTTTTTTGTTTCATGATAAATATTATTTTCGTTTTGCTGAACTTGAGAAGAACATAGTACATATTCTAGAAAACATTTTCACCTACTTTAACTTAATGACCATTTAAAGCAATCTCCAAAATTCCTGTTGCTTTCTACCATAAGGAGAAACATCTTATGGATATTATAGATCACATTAACGAAAGTCTGTGACTTATTAAGCTAGTAAGACCTTCCCATAAAATCACTTCCATCCTTGGCATTCATGACATTAATAGCAGTGAGTTTTCTTGCAACTCAGTACTTTGTTTTTGGTGTCTTGTAAGGCATTGTAAAACAAGTCTTTTGCTTCGTCATATTGAGTTGTTGGGCATAGCAATGACTGATGCTCCTTTTTACAAATCTAGTTTGCTTTAAATATTCTTCTGTTGACTGGCTCCCAGATCACATAATGACACGGTTGTCAGCTTTCTTCATCAATAGCACTTTTTCTTTCCTACTTCTGTATGATGTACCAGAGTAGGTCATAAATCTTATCTTGTTGGAAAATTGGATTGAGTCAGAATCTGGTCAATGACAATTGCTGATTCCTAGGATGTTAATTTTGTAGTTCTTTTTTATCTCTTTGATGAAGTGCATGTTTCCCAGTCTGGAGCATTGTTATCACATTGCATTATCAAATTTTCAAGATGGTACATCCTTATAACAGAGAACACTTATCCACCAGCATCCAAAGAGCTTTCACCAAAGCCCATCTTACTGATGATGGAGGATATTCCCTCTATACCAAAGCTAGTATCTGATGCATGCCTGTTTTCCATTTTCGAAGTAAGCACAGTTGTTAGTAATGGAGTTGCTGACTTTATGCTTAACCCCCATCCTGGAAGTTGAGTAAGCTTCTTGCTTTTAGTCTGCCTTCTATACTTTGACTTGGATTGGCTTACCAAGAGTTTCAGTCCTGTTGACATAGTTCTTCAGGTCTTGGGTATACACAGGTCTTTCAGCCATGTCAAGATGCAAATTATCTCGTATAGACATGCAGAAATATTGAAGACTGAGAGTAACTATAATAGTGTGTTGTTTCTTAATGTAATTTGGCTGTCTAGTGGTTTCACTTATATTTAATCAAGTCCAATTAAGATACACACTAATAACTTTCCTGCAAACATCTTGTTTAGACTAAACTAAGTTTCTGCCTTTGTTTTCTATTGAACTTAGGTTTGTTTAATTAATTACCAGTTATATATGAACAGAATTTAGGACTTGTCTATTCTTGCACGTTTTTAATTATAGCTCTGCTAAGCAAACCTCATTGAACAACTTATTTTCTCTTTGTAACCTTTTAAGATATAGAAATTTACTAGAAAGAAAGAAAGCAAAAGAATGAAATGGGAGGATAATATTAAACAGTGAACAAGCATAAGATCTCGAAGTGCACAAAAAAGGGCTCAAGACAGGCAGTGTTGATAGTCAATTGCAGTCATTCTCTGTAATGGAGATGGCACAAAATGAATGAATGAACCTACCTCTCAATTTTAAGTGTATCTTAAAATATCATACTTTTGTTTTTTGGATTATTGCTCAACAACCTAATGAAATAAAATTAATCTAAGTGACAGTGAATTTGGAAGTAACAGAGGTTAAACTGGATTTACTAAAGTAAAAAGGCAAAACAGGTAAATTAAAACAGGAGACGAACAAAAAAATCAAAGGAAGGTAAACATTACAAAACTCAAGATGTGTTATTGTTATTGCTTCAAAGAAATGACAAAGAACAAGGCTTCAACATTTAGGTTACAACCTCCTCGACCTGGTAATAATCCCATAAAGTGTAGTCAGTCATAATCAACAGAAATCCTAAATTTAGGCCATCTCACTACAGTACAGTAACAGGAGTAGATGTAGCATCACATTAAGAAAGTGCTGACTACCACACACACACACTATCGAAAGCAGTGATTAGGATCATTTTGACTGGTTTCTACT